TCTGTGCATCCCCCCCATCAGTACAGTGCCCCCACCAGTACAGTGCCGACTCTGTGCGTACCCCCCCCATATCAACACGGTGCCGACTCTGTGCACCCCCCCCCCCCATATCAACACGGCGCCGACTCTGTGCACCCCCCCATATCAACACGGCGCCGACTCCGTGCACCCCCCCATACCAACACGGTGCCGACTCCGTGCACCCCCCCATACCAACACGGCGCCGACTCCGTGCACCCCCCCATACCAGTACAGTGCCGACTCCGTGCACCCCCCCATACCAGTACAGTGCCGACTCCGTGCACCCCCCCCCCATACCAGTACAGTGCCAACTCCGTGCACCCCCCCCCCCCAACAGTACAGTGCCAACTCCGTGCACCACCCCCCCCAACAGTACAGTGCCAACTCCGTGCACCACCCCCCCCAACAGTACAGTGCTTCCCACCTCTGTGTACCCCCCCATTAGTAGTACAGTGCTACCTCTGTGTACCCCCCTATACCAGTACAGTGCCCCCGACTCCGTGTACCCCCCTATACCAGTACAGTGCCCCGACTCCGTGTACCCCCCTATACCAGTACAGTGCCCCCGACTCCGTGCACCCCCCCCATACCAGTACAGTGCCCCCGACTCCGTGCACCCCCCCCCCCCATACCAGTACAGTGCCGACTCCGTGCACCCCCCCCCAACAGTACAGTGCCAACTCCGTGCACCCCCCCCAACAGTACAGTGCCAACTCCGTGCACCCCCCCCAACAGTACAGTGCCAACTCCGTGCACCCCCCCCAACAGTACAGTGCCAACTCCGTGCACCCCCCCCAACAGTACAGTGCCAACTCCGTGCACCCCCCCCAACAGTACAGTGCCAACTCCGTGCACCCCCCCCAACAGTACAGTGCCAACTCCGTGCACCCCCCCCAACAGTACAGTGCCAACTCCGTGCACCCCCCCCAACAGTACAGTGCCAACTCCGTGCACCCCCCCCAACAGTACAGTGCCAACTCCGTGCACCCCCCCCAACAGTTACAGTGCCAACTCCGTGCACCACCCCCAACAGTACAGTGCCAACTCCGTGCAGCACCCCCAACAGTACAGTGCCAACTCCGTGCAGCACCCCCAACAGTACAGTGCCAACTCCGTGCAGCACCCCCAACAGTACAGTGCCAACTCCGTGCACCACCCCCCCCCCCCCCCCCCCCAACAGTACAGTGCCAACTCCGTGCACCCCCCCCCCCCCCAACAGTACAGTGCCAACTCCGTGCACCACCCCCCCCAACAGTACAGTGCTTCCCACCTCTGTGTACCCCCCCATTAGTAGTACAGTGCTACCTCTGTGTACCCCCCTATACCAGTACAGTGCCCCCGACTCCGTGTACCCCCCTATACCAGTACAGTGCCCCCCCCCCCGACTCCGTGTACCCCCCCCCAACAGTACAGTGCCAACTCCGTGCACCCCCCCCAACAGTACAGTGCCAACTCCGTGCACCCCCCCCCAACAGTACAGTGCCAACTCCGTGCACCCCCCCCCCAACAGTACAGTGCCAACTCCGTGCACCACCCCCAACAGTACAGTGCCAACTCCGTGCACCACCCCCAACAGTACAGTGCCAACTCCGTGCACCACCCCCAACAGTACAGTGCCAACTCCGTGCACCACCCCCACCCCCCCCCCCCCCCAACAGTACAGTGCCAACTCCGTGCACCACCCCCCCCCCCCCAACAGTACAGTGCCAACTCCGTGCACCTGCACCCCCCCCCCAACAGTACAGTGCCAACTCCGTGCACCACCCCCCCCCCCCAACAGTACAGTGCCAACTCCGTGCACCACCACCCCCCCAACAGTACAGTGCCAACTCCGTGCACCACCACGCCCCCCCCAACAGTACAGTGCCAACTCCGTGCACCACCACCCCCCCCAACAGTACAGTGCCAACTCCGTGCACCACCACCCCCCCCAACAGTACAGTGCCAACTCCGTGCACCCCCCCCCCCCCCCCAACAGTACAGTGCCAACTCCGTGCACCACCCCCCCCCCCCCCAACAGTACAGTGCCAACTCCGTGCACCACCACCCCCCCCAACAGTACAGTGCCAACTCCGTGCACCACCACCCCCCCAACAGTACAGTGCCAACTCCGTGCACCACCACCCCCCCCAACAGTACAGTGCCAACTCCGTGCACCACCACCCCCCCCAACAGTACAGTGCCAACTCCGTGCACCACCACCCCCCCAACAGTACAGTGCCAACTCCGTGCACCACACCCCCCCAACAGTACAGTGCCAACTCCGTGCACCACCACCACCCCCCCAACAGTACAGTGCCAACTCCGTGCACCCACCACCCCCCCCCCCCCAACAGTACAGTGCCAACTCGTGCACCACCCCCCCCCCCCCCCCCCCCCCCCAAACAGTACAGTGCCAACTCCGTGCACCACCCCCCCCCCAACAGTACAGTGCCAACTCCGTGCACCACCCCCCCCCCAACAGTACAGTGCCAACTCCGTGCACCACCCCCCCCCCAGTACAGTACAGTGCCAACTCCGTGCACCACCCCCCCCAACAGTACAGTGCCAACTCCGTGCACCCCCCCCCCCCCCCCCAACAGTACAGTGCCAACTCCGTGCACCACCCCCCCCCCCCCCCCAACAGTACAGTGCCAACTCCGTGCACCACCCCCCCCAACAGTACAGTGCCAACTCCGTGCACCCCCCCCCAACAGTACAGTGCCAACTCCGTGCACCACCCCCCCCCAACAGTACAGTGCCAACTCCGTGCACCACCCCCCCCCCCAACAGTACAGTGCCAACTCCGTGCACCACCCCCCCCCAACAGTACAGTGCCAACTCCGTGCACCAAACCCCCCCCCAACAGTACAGTGCTTCCCACCTCTGTGTACCCCCCATAACAGTACAGTGCCCCCACCTCTGTGTACCCCCCCATAACAGTACAGTGCCCCCACCTCTGTGTACCCCCCATAACAGTACAGTGCCCCCACCTCTGTGTACCCCCCCATTAGTAGTACAGTGCTACCTCTGTGTACCCCCCTATATCAGTACAGTGCCACCTGTGTACCCCCCCCTCTATCAGTACAGTGCCCCCCGTCTATGCCGAGTCCCCCCCCACCCACTCCCGGTTTCTAGGAGGAGGTCAGACCAGCTCGGTCCCGGTTGATGTAGCGGTGGGGAGCGGTAATCCCAGGCCACCCAGGGGGGGTCCCTCAAACAACGGTGAGAAGAGAACCCACCTTGTCCATCAGCTTCCAGCATTTCTCCACCGTCTTCCGGTCCACAGCTCCGGGCTGAGCGGTCGGGTGGTGATGGTGCGGCTGGAAAGCGTCTTTCACCAGGCCGATGAGCCCTCCGCCTTTCCGTAGGTTGGTCGCCATGGTAGCGCAGAGCTCACACGGGTACTCGGAGGAAGAAGTCACCGGAGAGCGCCGCCGCCACCCCCGGACACGGCCCTCCCAGTGAACGCCGGGCAGGGAGGGGAGAACTCTCCCAAGGCCGAGCACCGCACCGCCGCCGTCACTTCCGCTTTCTCAGGGCCGGGAGCGCGCACAGCCCGCGGATAGAATGAATATGCAGAGGAGCCCCGCCCAGGGCGGCGCTGCGGAGGAGAGGCAGGGGAGCGCGCATGCGCAGAAAGTGGGCGATAGGAGCCTGAGGAGCGGTGTAGACTAGTTTGCTCCATGTTCGTATTACAGATGTATGGAGATTGCGGCCATCGTCTGTATATGTGGTCGGGTAGAAGAAGAGCCTGTCAGCACTGTAATTCCACAACCTCCGAATAAGAGAGACTTTTAGTTTTATACAGATGAAGGGAGTAGGAGTGAGAAATGCACTGGGGGGGAACTGAAGTCATAAGGGACATTGCCTTGTCCATGGATAGGGACTGGTCATAGCACAACCAGGCTGCAGTAATCAGGCCTACAGCTTCACCTTGTTTCATTTCCCCCCCCCCAAAAAAAAGTAGGGGTGGGGGAGGGTAAAGTAGTGTGTCTTTGTGATGTCATAGGGAGAATCCCCCTCACTTCCTGGCCTGTCCCCTCAGAAAATCTTTCCATTGTGAGGGGAATCTCCTCACAAAGGACTAGGAGGAGATGTGCTGTTCTCCACTAATTCTGCATGCTAGCCAGAAATCATGGGGCCCCATACAGCCAAATTGACAGGCCCCCACAAAACACAGTATACTATGGTTTGGTTATGAATGAACACAGTGAGTGATCGGTACCGACCACTCATTGGGGGAGATTTACTAAAGCTGGTTCTCTCAGAATCTGGTGCAGCTGAGCATGGCAGCCAATCAGCTTCTAACCTCAGCTTGTTCAGTTCAGCGTTGGCAATAAAACCTGGAAGCTGATTGGTTTCCACACAAGTGCACCTGATTTTGCACTCTCCAGCTTTAGTAAATCCCATTGTGATCAGGAAAGGAAGGAGCTGGTAAATGTGACATTGACTGGACCCTTCCACCACTCTCCATCCTGAAGGATCCTATTGTGTGCTTGCAGCTGCTGGTAGGAAGGAGAGGAGGATAACTGGCAGCACTGCAGGGTTTGGGGGCACATAGGGGGGCCTGAGCAGCATTGGGGAAACGTATGGTGTACAGGGAGGGTGATGGGTGCGATGGAAGGGGGGGGCAATTACTGGAACCAATCCCCTGTATGACTCTGCAGCAGCTGAAAGCCTGAGGGAGGGAGAGAAGAAGCCAGCTTACAGCTGCTGCAGAGAGAGTCATACAGGGGATCAGTTCCAGTAATTGCACCCTCACTGTACCGATCACCCTCCCTGCCCAGGCATCTGATTCCCCCAGAGGCCTGGGCCCCATAGAGGAGGACTGATGGTTCCCCCTTATCCATGGCCCTGATGCCAGCTGCATGTCTTTGGGAATGATGGTGACCCTCTTCATGTGTATGGTGCAGAGGTTGGTGTCCTGGAAGGGTCCTATGAAATAATCCTCTGGGGCCCCCTACAGAGCCATGTCAGCAGAGCTCTGGAAGTGCAGGTCAGTCTTGGAGTCTTGAGTGATCTCCGGAGGAGGTGCTGGAAGGACAGCTCTCCAATGAGCAGCTTGGTGGATTTCTGGTAGCAGCAGATCTCTCGGAGAGCCACAGTGCAAGGCCTGTAGCAGTGAGGCTCCTTGACATGGCGAGGGCACTCTTGCAAGGAGCTTCGGTGGGCATCTGCTTTCAGAGAGCTTTCCTGCTGGTTTACTTGCAAGTAGAAGCTTTCCCCTCGATTCCCATTCTGGTGGCACCTCAAAAATGTGGATATACCCTCACTCTCATTCCTGGTGGCATTGGTGATCAGGATAATTAGAGAGAGCAAATCTCCCTAATAGGGACACAGATAGCAATGAAAACCTTCAAGATCAACAAATGTTCCTCACTGTCTTGAAAGCACCAAGAGACTGGAGGGTGCTTAGTCAATTTTAGTACCAGCAAATATCGATTGGAGATTAAAGCCAGCATTCCGAATGATAGAGAAGAGTTTTGGGTGGGATCAAACCAACAGTGGTTTGTTCTCACATGGAACAACAGTTACACACCCTGTCATTTACATCTCTAGCTTTCTTTCTCTGATAACAATCAAAACATGACTCCTCACCACTCTATCCAAAACTAAAAAAATCTTTAAAAAGTATTTTTTTTAGAGTTCTAACCCCTCACCAGATTATCCAAATCAAAAAAGCATTTCCTTTTAGTAATAACAGCTTCCGGTCTGCCCTATAGCAGAAGTACTGCTACAGGGTGGCACGGGTGTGCAAAATTATGTATATATATTTCTGGGTAGGGGGCATGCGCGAGCTGCATGCATGCCCTACCCACGCCACCATTCATGGCTTTGGCTGTCAATCACCGGGTCCCGGCCTGTAATTACTGGTGTCCGGTGATTGCCGAGCATCTCCAATGGGGGGGAGAACTGTTGTAAACAAAACAGTTCTCTCCCCTGTCAGTTCCTGCATAGCACAGCCATGCAAAGCAGTGTGCTTGCAGTGAGGCACAAACACAACATCATGTAAAACAGCACACAATTAACCCTTTGATTGCCCCCACATGTTAACCCCTTCCTGCCCAGTGCCATTAGTACAGTGTCACTGCTTTTTATTAGCACTGATCACTGTATCAGTGTCACTCGGGATGTCAATGACACCAAGTCACTTTCCCTCAGTGTCAGAATGCCCGCTGCAGTCCTGCAAAAAGTCGCTGATCGCTGCCATTACTAGTAAAAATGTAAAAAAAAAATTCCAGTATATATACCGCCATTTATAAATCCTATAACTTTCACGTAAACCAATTAATTTACACGTATTGGGATTTTTTTTTTAGCAAAGACGTAGCAGAATACATTTTGGCCTAAATTTATAATAAAATTAGATTTTCAAACTTTTTTTACTGGACATGTTTAATAGTAAAAAGTCAAAAATATTGTTTTTTTTTTCTCAAAACTGTCGTGTTTTTTTTTTAATAGTGCAAAAAATTAAAAATGCACAGGTGATCAAATACCATTGAAAGAAAGCTCTATTTGTGGGGAAAAAGGACGTAAGTCTCATTTGGATGCAGCATTGCATAACCACACAATAATCAGTTAAAGTAACGCAGCGCCGTAACGCAAAAAATGGCCTGGTCAGGAAGGGGGGTAAATCCTCAGGAGGGCAAGTGGTTAAAGCAGTAATAAACCCCACAACTAAATTGTAATATGTTGCAGCTTACCAATTCTTAGATGTGGTGGTTGCATTTGTTTTCAATTTTAGTGTTTGTCAGTAAGTTCTGGCCGGTAAATTTGTTATTTTACAACAGAACAAGCTGTCCTGCAGACATTGCAGTTAGAGGGTTAAGACAAGCCAATTACTGCTGACAGGGGTGCTTACAATGGTCAGCTTTTATTCATGTATGTAAAACATTTATCCCAAAAGGAACAACACTGTTTGCTGTAACTGACTGTAAAATGTTAGCTGGAGTTCAGCTTTAAGACCAAGTTCACATATGTGTGGTTGTCCGCACGCGATTTGCACGGGCCCATTCATTTGAATAGACCCCCATGCCCCGGGACACCCAGGGAAGCAGTCCCTGCACTACTTGGGAAAACGCAGCCCACACAGGAACCAAGGTTCTCAGTGCGGGTGCAATGTCCAGTGCGGGTGGCATGCCATTAGAATTAATAGCACCGGCCTGCGGATCCTGCATTCCTCTGTGGGTGGTGCGGCTGCAGGTATGTATGTGTGACCCGCAGTGGCACCGCCCACACAGATGTGAACCAAGTCTAAAGTATAACTAAAGACAAACTTTTTTTTTTAGTTTTGAATAGAGTGGAGAGAGATTAGAACACCTGTCAGGTTATTATTGCTGCATGTGTCCCAATTAGAGAGATTTACCCTCCATTTTTGCCCTGTCTACCATTATCTACCTCAACACTATTGTCTGTCCAAAAGTGTATAAAACGTGTGCTACAGTTCTTTATATTGTTTCTGTCTTCTGTCTGGGAAGAAATAACCCCTTTTTTCCATTTTTGGGGGAACGTGTCATGGCTGACATATAGCAACCTGTGGTGCTAATCTGTTACAATGCCTTGGTTCATTCTTAAGAAAGAAAGATTGCTTCTTTCTAGCTACTTGTTCTCTCCAAAAAAAGTGGCCTGCCAGAAAATGATTCCAAGCTTAGCCACAAATCTGTCAAATGTTTCTCTTCAGTCTGTGAAAAAGGAAGCCCGTTTTTTTTGCTTGTGGATGCAATCTGCTTACTCTCTCCCTTAGAAATTGCAGCTTACTCCAATGAAGGCTTTTGAAAAGTGTGGTGCAATGCTGTTCAATGTTTATGTTTTCAATTGTACACACAAATAACCAACTTTTGTTGTTTCAGATTCAATGAGCTTGCTTAATCGCTCAGAAATTGTCGCCTGCCCACACAGGCTTGATATCTGTGGTCAGTAAACAACCTTTATGAACTTTTCATGCTTAGGTGTATATGAGTCTCTTCAGTGTATACAATGCTCACCTGTAATGTTAAATCCTGTGCAGCAATCCCCCAGGGGGAGGCAACCTGCGGCTCTCTAGCTGTTGTGGAACTACATTTCCCATGAGGCATTGCACCATTACAAAACTGACAGTTACAGCTATAACTTGTAGAGGCATGATGGAACTTGTAGTCCTGCAACAGCTGGAGAGCCGCAGGTTGCCTACCCCTGCCTCAGACCATACACAAGGGGATGCAGGCAACCTCAAATGACAAAAAGGATAGCGGGCAGTGCACATACTAGCACAATCACTTTATTTAGATGTAGAAATAAACGTGGTACTAAACCCAGAACAGTAAAATCAGTCTGTATATGCAGTAAAGCATGCTTGTTATACTCACTGTGGAACCTAAGGGGTTAATCCTCTGCATTGTGTTAAAAGGCTGTTTGATCCTTTCTTCTCTGACCCTCTTCATCCTCATGCACACTGGATGTTTTTACAGCTGCTGTTTTTGGCTATTGACGTTTTTTTCTACAGCCAGTGACTTTACACAGCTAACGTTACCAGCAATATTAAAACGCCCAGTGTGCATGAAGCCTTCTTGTTGCAATAACCACCTGATACAGACTGAACTTATAGCATTGCATTCTATAAAAACGCTGTTTGATCCTGACTTCACTGATCCTCCCCTTCTTCCCGTGCCCCCCCCTTATCTCCTGATAAGACATATCATGTGGAGTCACTCTGCACATGCTCAGTTTGGTGTGTATTGCTAGAGAGGGTTTTCTTTTTCCTTGGGAGAGTACATGCGTTCAGCACAGGGCCAATCAGCGCTGTCCAGACAGAGGTCTTCCTAGGGCACAATGAAAACTCCTCCTACAAGCTTTAACATGTGCTCGGCTGGACACTGATAGAAGACTGCTCTAATTGCTGATGGTAAAAGGTACTTAGCAGTTTATAATTACTAACATAATTGCATTTCCATGTTGTGTGTACTGTGGGAGACCAGAAATAGTGAATGCAGGGGAAACAGAAACAACACCTCCTGCGCTCAGGGACCCAGATCAAGGGTGGATGGGTGAGAAGACCACGTGTGGAAGTTCGTCCACCAATGGATCGAAGGTTGTGCAGCTCTTAACCTCCCTGGCGGTATTCCCGAGTGTAGCTCGGGGTAAAATTTCAGTACCAAAAGCGGTATCCCCGAGCTACACTCGAGCTTACCATGCGGCGTTGCTCGGGGATCCCCTGCAGCGCTTACCTTGTCCTTCGCTCCCGCGATGCGTCCCCTGCAGTGTCCCCGGCCATCTCCTCCGGCTTCTGTGTTCCGGTCCTCCTGCGAGTGTCGGGACGTACGGGGGCCGGAACCCGGCGGCAAATTTAAAAATTTTAGAAACTGTCGTTTTCTAATAAACGAATATGACATAGTAAAACATTACTGTTTCAAAGCATTTCACATACATTGTGTCCCTACTGCTTTGTCCTGTGCCCTGCCTGCATTTTTACTGTTCTTTCTGCCTGGAAACTTTGAAAAGTCCATGGTGTCCAAAAAGCATCCCTTTAGGTCAAAAGCGGTTTTAGACCAGCTAGAGAACAGCGATAGTAAATCAGAACTACTTGCAGAATTGAGTGATAATGTTTCGTGGGGAAATTTGTCATCAGACACTGAAAACGATTTTGCGACTTTGCTCAGCGACGTGCGAACTTGGCGCTATATTTCAAATTTCAGTGTTTTTGGTTTGATTATATTATTTAATTAAATTTATTATTATTATATTATTATTTTTTATGATTATTTATTAAATTATAATTTATGATTTCGTGTTTCAAGTTTTATCCTACCTGGAATGTTTACTAGACTCTAGTAGACTAGTTTGGACAGATTTCAGTGAGTTATTCTTAAAAATTACAGGCCTACAATTAAAAAAATACATATTTCCATGCAAAAAAATGTACCGCTTTCAGCACAGAAATATGGACATAATCAGACCGCTAGGGTGGTTAACAAGGCTGGGGAAGCCCAACCAATACTGCAAAGTAAAACAAAAAGGAAGCACACCAGCCTTGTGCATCACCTCAATATTTATTTTATTTATTTATTTCAGGTACTTATATAGCGCTGTCAATTTACGCAGCACTTTACATGTATATTGTACATTCACAGCAGTCCCTAACCCTCAAGGGGCGTACAATCTAAGGTCATATAAACTATAATTTTATTAAAATGAGATA